TGGCAAAACAGCACGTGTTGGCCAAGTCCCTGAGCCTCTGTTCCCACAGGGGACGCAAGCTCCAGGCTCCTGGCTTTGTCCTAGACCAGCAGATGGGAGATTCTCATTTCTCTCTCTCTCTCTCTCTAACCTCCTTTCCTCTCCCTCCTCCCCCATTTTCCACTCTGACTTTCAAATAAATAAATTTTAAAGAGTGAAACTTACTAATGAATTAATGATCCAATTTTCTGGAAAATTTAGAAGGGTGATATAATCTCCCTTCTTTTGGATATCTAAAATTAGGCTCATTTACCTCGCAGATGGGCTAGCTGAAGACAAGGCAAGGCGCAGGAAAGTCCCATATGTTCCAAGCTAAGAGTCTTCCACAAAAAGATTTTCTAAATCTTGTGAGAGTCATTTGATCAAAAATATCTGCTTTCCCAGTGATATTTAGGAGTAGAAAATACATCTTTTGAAGACAGATCTCTTTCTCTGAAACTTCAGTATCTGGTTCCCCTGATCCCCCCGCCCTTGTTTAGAGAAAGTATCCCGGAACTAATCCTGCAGCTGTTTGCCTACCTGCAATGAACAGCGGTGGCACGCCCTGCAATGACGTGTACCCGGTCGCCTAAGCCTTGAGCTGTTTCCCATTGCCCTCAACACGCTCAGTCACAAGTGCAGCATCACCTTGTTCTCACAGGAGACATTTCTGCTGCATGATCCCTGGCCCAGAACCCAACCCGTCCCTACCACTAGGCCTGGGTTATGGCAGCGGCTCTTTCAAAATTATCCCCCTTAGTGCCTATATGGTGGTACATCCGGCTAAGCTGTCAGAGCTGGCATTCTATGGTAGGGCTGGTTCAAGTGCTCCACTGCTGACCCACCTCCCTGCAATTATGTCTGGAAAAGCAGCAGAGGATGACCCAAGTCCTTGTGCTCCTGCACCTAGGTGGGAGACTGGGAAGAAGCTCCTGGCTCCTGGCTTAAGACCAACCCAGCTCTAGCCATTGCAGCCATTTGCAGAGTGAACCAGGCAGTGGAACATCTCTCTTCATCTCTCTTCTCTCTCTGTAAATATGCATTTCCAATAAAAACAAATGTTTAAAAGGATTTTTTATTGGAAAGGCAGGTTTACAGAGAGAAGGAGAGACAGAGATCTTCCATCCTCTGTCATTCACCAGCTGACCACAATGTCTGGAGCTTAGTTGATCCAATGTCAGGAGTAAGGAGCTTCTTCCAGGTCTCCCACACAGGTGTCCCAGGGCTTTGAGCCATCCTCAACTGCTTTCCCAGGCCACAAGGAGGGAGCTGGATGGGAAGCATAGCAGCTTGGGCACAAACTGGTGCCCATATGGGATCCTGGTGCTTGCAAGGTGAGGATTTAGCCCACTGAGCCATCGTGCTGGGCCCAGATCCTCTTTTTTTTGTTTTGTAATAGTCACCCAGCCCTGCCCCGCTCCCTCACTGACCCAGCCACCCACCAACCACAGGGCTTCTCCTAAAGAGAGCTTTAAGTATCCTCTCACACTTGCAGAGTGGCCGTGGAGTCTGTGGCCAGGAAAGCACCTGCCACTTCCACTGTTCAGAACCTCTGCAAAGCCTGTTTGAAGGATGCTGGCCACACCCATTCCTCTCTACCACCTCCCAGCTGCTGGAGTCCTGGACTGTGTTGTGGGTGTCCACTCAACATCAAGCAAGTGCTTCCCTGGGGCCACTTTTCCCTAACCTAGTATCTCAGATCAGGTAGCATCTGTCCCTGGAGGCTGGTGCTCCAGGAGTACCAGCTCCTCCACTTCTGAACCCACCCACCCCGTGTGGCATGGCAGAGGCTTCACTGCCTTGACTTTTCAGGCAGCTGAAAAGAGCCCTGGGAAGTGTGGGCAGGAGCTGCATTTGCAGAAGGCTGGGGTGGAGGAGGAGGCGGGCGTGGATAGAGCGGTCTGACTATAGATCTCGGCACCTGCCAAGTTTGTGTTTAATTATAGTCCCTTCCCTTGCCAGCCCAGGATAATCATCTCCCTTCCCAAACAGGCTTTGTGGCATTCTCATTTTGTAAGAATTCCTTCTTCCTTGAAGGAGCTGGGGTGAAAATCTATGTTTCTGACGGTCGCAGGGCACAGCCAAATGTTGCTGCTGCTGGGGGCTTGGTGAACACCTTTGGCCCTGATGTCTGTTCAACCCTGTGTCCGCTGTAGAGGGTTTGCAGCTCTCTCTCTCTCTCTCTCTCTCTCTCTCTCTCTCTCTCTCTCTCTTTCTCTGCCTGGCTTCTGAGGCTTTACAGTTTGCTTCTCCATCTGCAGGTCGATAGGCAGCCCGATTTGGGTGGGAAAAGCAAACTCATGGGGTTGCATCGCTGAATTAATACCTTGAGCTTAGGCATGGCAGGACCTAGGCTGGGCTGCAGGCATGGCATGGTCAGAGCCATTCCCTGCCCATTCTTTTTTCCTGCCTCCATGGCAGAAATTTTTCTCCTGATTTGTCCTTGTCACTCAGGGCCCACCACCCCACCCCTACTCCCACCTTGTATTGTTATGTCTTTTTGAAGTGTATTTATTTGGAAGAAAGAGACAATAAGACAAAGAAAAGTCTTCTATCTGCTTATTTATTGTCTGAATGCCCACATTGGCCAGGACTGGGCCGAGGCAAGCTAGGAACCAAGGACTCCATCCAGGGACCAGGGCAGGGAGGAGGCAGGAGGGAGGGATGCAGCCATCACCTGCTCCCTCCCTGGGGCGCAGCCTCAGCAGGTCACAGCTGCCTTTGCTGTCCTTGCACCTGAGTCCCCACAGGTGGCTCACAGCCCCGTAGTTCACAGCCTGCAGTGTGCCAACTGCAATTCGCTTCCCTGAGGAGCAAACTGCAGCTTCTTTGGAGGAGAAAGCACCAGGTTTCTCCTGCTGAGCGGAGGAAGAGCCCTTTGTATTTTATATTATGGGGCACAACCTGGGGGATCCCCAAGCAGAGTTGCATGGACTCCAGATGGAGCAGGGCTGTGAGTGAACCCCCACACCCTCGCCAGCCTCAAGCCAGCTGCTACACCCCCCTCACCCCCGTCCCGCAACGAGCCTGTGCCAGCGTCTCATCCCTGGCTTCTCACTCCCACCCACTCCTCAGACCCTCCCAGAAGTGGCAGAGCCATGCTCAAGCTGAGACCGAGGAGCCTGTTGGGCACAGGATGAGCAAAAGGAGGCTTGCTGGCCCAATGCAGGAGTCCCTGGGGCCCAAACAGCAGGCCCCTGGCGAGGCATATTAAGGAACCTGTCCTGAGAGATGGCAAAAAGACCTAAGCATGGAAGAGTACACACTGCCACTCCCTTTTAGGCCAAGGTTGTTCTCACTCCCTTGGGGCATCAGCAGAGGGGTGACATCATCGCTCATCCAGCCTCCTGCCCTCCCCCCCACACACACACAGCCTGCAACCACCACGTGTGGCCCTAAGGATCGTGAGCAGACAGGAGGGGAGGGCTAGTACCCTGTCAGAGCCCCTGCCCCACCTCTCACAGGAGAGGTAGCTGCAGCGAGAAAAGGATGAGTTTGCCCAAGGCCAAAGGCAAAAGGTGGATGAGAAAGAAAGGACCAAGCCCAGAGGCCAGTGCTGTGGCACAGCTGGCTAAGCCAGCACCTGCCATGCCAGCACCCCTATGAGCTCTGGTACAAATCCCAGCTGCTTCACTTCTGATTCAGCTCCCTGCTAATGCTCTGGGAAAGCAGCAGAGGATGGCCCACGTGCTTGGGCCCTGCCACCTACATGGAAGACCTAGATCAAGTTCCCAGCTCCTCACCTGAGTCTGGCCCAGCCCTGACCATCTAGGCAGTAAGCCAGCAAATGGAAAATTAATATATTTCTCTCTTTCTCTCTCTCTCTCTGTACTCTGCCTTTCAAATAAACCCATTTTGAAAAGATTGAGACAGGTCTCTGTTTTCTTCCCCAGTTTGGGGGTACAATTGAACCAGCCAGGGCTTTCCACCCTTTGGTGGAGTTCATCTGCTTGGTCCCACCTCTTGCCAATCAAGGCTCTTGCTACACACCCCCTGCCCCCCCCCCATGTTACAGGAACTGGAACCTCACTTCTGAGGCCTCAGGAGGCCTGATGAGAAAAGTGAGGGTGTTGGTGGAGATGGCCGCCCACTACTTTCTGGCAGTGTTTGTGCCTCCAGCTGTGGCGCACACCGGGACCTGCAGCGTAGGGCTGCCCAGCACAGAAGCTCCCAAAACTGGTCCCGCAGTCCCAGTTCAGGGCTTCAGAGTCACCAGGTGGGAGCCAGGTTTAAGCGTTGCTCTGCAACCACTACCAACCCCCCAGTGATGCTGATGTTGCTGCAGTGGGGCACCCTGAAGAAGTGGGGCACCCTGAAGAACTGGGGCACCCTGAAGAACTGGGGCCCTTTCTCCCTCTGCTCTCCCTCACTGTCCTGGCCGGCTTCCTCTCCCAGCCCCTCCTAACCCTCTCCCTGTCTTCCAATACTGGTTTCAAGGAGCCCCCTCAGCCAGCCGCTGACCCAATGTGAGACCCGGAGCTTGGAGCTAGTCCTTTTCCGGCCCAAAGGGAGCCAGCAGTTTGGACCACAAGCTCCTTAGGTTCCTGCTGGGTTGGGCCAACTCTGCCTGGCTCAACCGGGGCTCTTGTGTGCAGCCGGTGTGTGATCAAAGAAGCCTCTGGGTGAATTGTGCGGTGCTCAAATCCTGCGATTCTCACCCCTCTTTTCCTTCCTAATCCCAGCTTGTCCTTCCCGGGCAGACAGGATATTTGGGGCGGGGTAGGGGAGTTGTTCCCCAGCCCGTAGTCACCACCAGAGACGTCCCATCACCACCACGCCTGCATAGACTCCAGCAGGGGGAGCCTGAGCGAAAGTCAAGGCCGGGCAGGTCAGCCCAGGTGTCCAGTCCCGGGGGGCGTGGACAGAGCGAGGCCCGCCCGGACTGCGCTTAAGTAGCTGCGGGCCCCTGCGGGAGGAAGCTGCGGCCGCCGCTCACTCCTTAGGACCCGAACCCTCACCTGACCCGACACCTGGCCTGCGCCATGAGAGGTCCAAGCCCGGCTCTGTGGCTCTTCCTCGCCCTGCGCACCGGTGAGGCCCCGCTGTCCGGCCGTGAGAGCAGGACCCCGGGGGTGGAAGTGGGAGGAGTGTGAGGGTCCGATCCCGCGCGTCCTCAGGGCAGAGATGGAGATCCCTGGAGGGCTTCTCGGAGGAGTCAAGCCGGATCCTGTCAATGCCAAGCGCCGGGTGCCGTTTGGGGAGCGCTTGGGGTGTCAGGAAGCGGTCGAGGGGACTCTCCTTGTGTCCCGTGGAAATGGGGGACTCGGTGGGGTTCTCTGAGGCTGGGGGCGGGGGAAGGGAGAGAGGAGGGGCGGAAGGGGTCAGTCTCGCAGAGGCAGCCCAGGGAGAGCCGGCTTGGGATACCCGCCCCGACACACGTTCGAGAGCAGCCGGGAGGGGAGAGGCGGTGGGCTCCCTCAGGGGTGCCAGGAGATAGCGCTGTCCGAGCTGGGACTGGGCGGAGGGGCACGGGAGCAAAGGTGTCAACCCCAGCGCCCACGGCACCCCCGTCCGGTCCCGCATACGGTGGGCTCTGCGCGTGCGTGCACCCATACTTCACACGCACATACAGACTGCTGGTCCCCGAACGAAGCAAGCTCAGAGAGGGCAAGTGGCACGGCCCAGTCACCACAGAGTCTGGCCTGTGCGTTCCTCCTCAGGCTGCTCTGTGCGCCTGGGGCGCACCTGCAAAACCTCCCCCTATCCTGCTATCCCGTCTGGACTACATGGGGCTGGCCTGCCAGGAAAGGGGCCAGAGGCCACATGACAGAGAGCAGCTGTCACCTGCCACCGGCTGTGTCCCCCGCTCGCAGGGTCCTGAGCCCGCAAACGCTCATGGGCCCGACTGGGTGCCTCAGTGCCCCCACGGAGGGCCTGAGCTCACCTTCCCACCCCCACTGTCCCCGCAGCACTGAGCTTGGAGGTGCGATGGTGCACCGTGTCCGAACCGGAACAGCAGAAGTGCAGCGACATGAGCCAGGCTTTCCAGCACGCGGGCCTGCAGCCAGCGCTGCTGTGCGTGCTGGGCACCTCGGCCGAGCACTGCGTCCAGCTCATCGCGGTGAGTCCGCACCCGCTGGCCGCCTCCCGCTGGTGGCCAGAGCTCTGAGTCAGGAGGCCGCGCACAAGGGCTTCATTCACGACCAGCTGCCTTGGCCTGCCGCCCTCCGGGCTGTCCGTTTCCTGCGGGTGTGGCAGGCCGGGAAGGGTGACGCTGACCTGATCTTCTCTTGGGGGTGGAGGCGCATGCCACCCACCCCACTCATGACACCCTGCCGTGGAGCTTTCCAGAATAGGTCCATGGGAGCTTTGGGGCCAGAGGGGCCAGTAATCTAGATTGCGTGAGCACAGGAGCCCTGGGCCCTTCAAAGACCTACTCCCATCAGGCTGCTGTGTGAGGGGACAGAGATGACTTACACTGAACTTGAATTACCTTTTCTATTGATTTTGTTTATTTGAAAGACACTGACACAGCAATAGAGATCCTGGTGGCTGGTTTTCTCCCCTAAAGGCCTCTCGGGCCAGGGCCTCAGCCCAGGGCTCTCGCTGGGTGGCAGGGAGTCAGCTACTGGAACCCTCACCTACTGTCTCCCAGGCACCAGCAGGGAGCTGGAATCTGGGGTGGAGCCAGGACTTGAACCCAGGCATTGGGATGCAGGATGCAGGTCATCCCCAGTGGCATCTGGACCACTGTGCCAAGCACATGCCGTTTTGGTCTGAACCCTGTCCATGGCCTCCAGGCCCTGCCAACAGTACATTGCCTTCTGAGTTCAGACATTATAAAGGAGGGGGCAGTATTGTGGTACAGTGGGGAAAGCCACCACCTGCAATGCCAGCATCCCATCTAAATGCCAGTTCAAGTCCCGGCTGCTCCATTTCTGATCCAGCTTTCTGCTAATGGGCCTGGGAAAACAGTGGAAGATGGCCCAAGCCCTTGGGGTCCTGCACCCTTGTGGGAGATGTGGAAGAACCCCTGGCTGGTTTGGCCTGGCCCAGCTCACACCATTGAGGATCTCTGGGGAATGAACTACTGATGGAAGATTCTCTCCATCTCTCTCTCTTCCCCCTCGTGTGTGTGTGTGAGCATTTCTGGGATCCTGTCCACAGAGGCCCTATTAGGAGGAAAATAGGCTCAGTGGAGTAGGGGAGGCCGGGGCAGGCAAACAGGTGTGCTGGCCTCAAAGTCTCCACCAATTAAACCAGGCACAGGTAGATTTGGGAATGGAGCATGAGAAACATGCTCTGTCTTCTCCTCTTCAATTTGTCTGTGAATGCAGTGAAGAGCCCCCATCTCTCTAGTAAGAGCCCTATATCTGAATAATCAATGTTTCCTGGTACAGTTAGGAGAACATGATGAGGCCCTGGCCTAGCCAAGGAGGGCCCCGCAGAGAGGACAGCATAGAGCCCTGGGCCTCCCCAAGGGGCCCTCAGTCCCTGACAGGCGTCCCCAGAATAAGCAGGAACAGGCTGACCTGTGGGTTCCTTAACAGGCCCAGGAGGCTGACGCCATCACTCTGGACGGAGGAGCCATTTACGAGGCGGGGAAGGAGTACCACCTGAAGCCCGTGGTGGGTGAAGTATATGACCAAGGTACGCGGGTGGAGAGGGAGGGAGGGCTCATCACTGTTGCTACTTGCCCCCCATCTGGGTCTCCCAAGAATCAGGGACCCCAAGTACTTGTGCCAATTTCCGCTGCTTTCCTAGACACATTATCAGGGAGCTGGATGAGAAGTGGAACCTCCAGAACTCAAACTGGTGCCCGTATGGTATGCTGGCATTGCAGGTAGAATCTCCTTGCTAAACCACAGTGCCAGACCTCGCCCACAGAACTGTCCTGAATTCCCTGGGGGTCACAGAGCTTGGAAAGCAAGAGCTGGCCTGAGCCTGTTCTTCACAGGGCACCCCGCAGCTCCCCTCCCCCAGTCTTGCTCACTAAGCTCTTGCAAGGAAATGATCCAGGTGTAGCGTGTAGCATGGAGCTGAGTGTGCTGTTGCCCATGGCAACCAAGGCACCACTAATGCTAAGCTATGGCAGAGCCCTCAGACCCCACCACCATCCTCAACTAGGCCCCATCTGTGACCTCAGACAACCTCGTCCTCAACTGTGAAATACACATAACACCCACCCAGTCACACAGGTTGGATGAGCCAAGGCCTGTGCCCACCCGATGCATAGTGCGTGCTCAAAACTGAGTTCCTTGGATCCCGCACCAGCAGCTCAGCCCAGCCCTAGTCTAGCCTGCTCCACCTGTCCAAGGCCCAGTCCCCAGTACAGTTCTGTACCACTGGGGGAGCTCCCGTGGTCCCTTCCCACCTGTGCAAAGTGCTCCCAAGGCCTGGTCCTCATACGTGTTTACCTATTAGAAAGCGAGGTGTAGGCAACTGGGGGGGAAGGAAAAGGGAATATGGAACAAGCCACAAGAGGGCGCTCAGGGGAGGGCATTTCAGCTGAGCCCTGACCCAGGTCTGGGACAACCTGGAAAGGGCCCGGGGATCAGGAGTGCGCCCCAGACAAGTAGCTTAGCTTAGCAGGTGCCAGGCTCAGGTGCGTTAGAAATAGCACAGACTTCATTTTCTAGAATTCAGTTGCATTTGCTTTTTTCCAAATGTTATGTATTTATTTGTTCATAAGACAAATCTTCCATCCACTGGAATAATACAACAGCACTACCAAAACGGCTGCGAATGCCAGGTCTGGGCCAGCTCAAAGCAAAGAGCCAGAAACTCCATCTGGGCCTCCCATGTGGATGGCAGGAGCCCCAAGTACCTGGGCCGTCTCTGTCCCACAGACACATTAGCAGGGAGCTAGAATGGAAGTGGAGCAGCCAGGACTCACGTGGACACTTGATATGGCATGCCAGCATCACAGGCAGCAGCTTTAACCTGTTGTGCCACCAGAACTCATTTTCGTTCTGATCCTAACACAGGCATGACACACAACAGGCAGCGTGTGTGTGACCCAGGGTATGTTTTGGCAAGGCTGCAGAGTTCGGCCATTGGGATCTTAAATGACTTGGGGAACATACTGCTGCTAATCCTTCCTGTGCCCTCAGCACCAGAAATTCACCCTTCTAGAATGATCTAGAATGCCAGCTGGTATATATACACATCTCCCAGCTCCTCTGTGAAACTGGGACAAGCAGCCTCCCTCAGGCCTTCCTCCCTCATCTTGGCTCCTAGAGGTGGGCACCTCCTACTACGCCGTGGCCGTGGTCAGAAGGAGCTTCAACGTAACCATCAACACCCTGAGAGGCGTGAAGTCCTGCCATACAGGCATCAACCGCACGGTGGGCTGGAACGTGCCCGTGGGCTTCCTGGTGGACAGCGGCCGACTCTCGGTGATGGGCTGTGACGTGCTCAGAGGTGGGGTCTCCCTGCTGCCCCCTCTCTCAGGACACACTCCACCTCCCAAGGGATAACCTCCACCCTCCAGCCCCTTTCAAGTGCACTGAAGTTCCACCTCCCCCCAGGGAGCCCTCCTGACACCTGCTCAGTGGGCTCGCACCATCTGCTGCACTGGCCAGCCCTGAAACTTCTGACACCCTGGTGCGCCGGGGGACACAGGAACCAACCTGCAGTGGAGGGGGGTGGTAGCACAGTGACCGTTCTCTGCCTCCTTCCCCACAGCTGTCAGTGAGTACTTCGGGGGCAGCTGCGTCCCCGGAGCCAGAGAGACCAGCTACTCTGAGTCCCTCTGTCGCCTCTGCCGAGGTGACAGCTCCGGGGAGGGGACGTGTGACAAGAGCCCCCTGGAGCGGTACTACGACTACAGTGGGGCCTTCCGGTGAGGGGGCTACCCCCCGGGGTGGAGGAGCTGGAGGGAGAAATGCCTTTGCAGGGGGAAGGGGTGGGGCCTGGCAGGGGTGGCCTTGCTGGCCGGCTGGCGGGGCCCAGGCCTTATAAAGCACCCTTTATTTCTATGCACTGGTAAGCTCCAAGGCATGTAATGCAATGTGCCAGGCTGGGCTCGCTCAGAAACTCGGTAGGTTTGGTGCAGCAGGGAGGTGAGGGCTCAGAGGAAGGAAGAGAGGATCTAGAGCTGTGGAATCGCACAGTGACAGGTCTGGGGGTGATCCCTGCGCCTCAAGGCCAGCCCTTTGTGGGCCCCAAAGCAGCCCTGGGTTGGAGTCCTCCCCACCACCCTACCCCACCCCGGCTATCCAGCCCAGTGCCCCAGGGTTGCAGGGGAAAGAAGGGTAGAACATGGCAGGTGGGATTGAGCAGTGCCCAGTACCTCCAAGCTGCAGACTCTGGCCCATCCCTCACCCCGGCATCCTGGCCATCACAGTCCTCCCTCTCTCTCCTAGCCCTCAGAGCTGGTCCTTGGGACATCATACCTCACTCTACCCTACTAGTAGGAATCCCGAGCAGCTCTTCCCACAACTGCCTCCTGCATGAGGCCGTGAGGTATAGAGAATCTCAAAGGCGTGGGCACTGCACTCAGGCTGTTCTCAGCTATGGCACCAGGGGTGTCCTTGGGCACTGCCGGTGGCTGGCACAATGTCCCAGCCTTCATGGCTGCTGGGTCCTCCCAGAGCCTCTGGCTCCCCTGGCCCCAGTTGGGCTGCACAGACTCCCTGCTAATCCTAAGGCAGCCCCATGTCAAGCTGCTGTGTGTGACAGGCTCGAGGGGCTATGAAGGGCCCACCGCTTAGCAAAGTAACATGGGCAGCAAGTGAGGGCCACAACACTATGGAGTCTGGGCTCACTGTGGCCACTCTCCACTGCCCAACCCAGACCCCCAGGGAGGGAAGTCAGACAGGTGCCACTCAAGGTTTCTCCCCCTGCAGGTGCCTGGCAGAAGGGGCAGGAGATGTGGCTTTTGTGAAGCACAGCACGGTGTTGGAGAACACAGATGGTGAGTGGGCTGCCCAGGCTGTGGGTAGGGGGTGGGGGCATGAGGAGTAGGCTTCCCAGGTTTGGAAGTCCCCATGGCGAGTGGCTCTGTTGTGCTGTGGGCTAGCCCTCCCACCTGGAGACTGGCATCTACCTCTTTTTTAAAAATCCCTATTTATTAATTTTATGGTGAAGGCAGATCCACAGAGAAAAGGAAGGACAGAGAGGAAGATCTTCCATCTGGTGTTTCACTCCCCAAATGGCCTCAGTGGCCGGAGCTGAACCAATCCAAACCAGCAGCCTGTAGCTTCTTCTAGCTCTTCCATGTAGGTGCAAGCTCAAGGGTTTAGGTCATCCTCTACTGCTTTCTCATGCCACAAGAAGGGAGCTGGTTGGGAAGCAGAGCAGCCAGGATATGAACTGGTGCCTGTGTAGGATCCTGGCACCTGAAGGGGGAGAATGAGCTAACTGAGCCATTGCACCTGGAGCTTTGTGACCCTACATGAGATGTTCTCTGCTGTCCCCCAGGGCACTTCCCTCCCCTGAAGAGGCCACCCTTCTCCCCTATAGGAGATCCCTTTAAAATGGCTCGGTGCAGTGTGTGGGGCCATTGGACTGTTCCCATTTGCATTTGAAACTATTTGAGCTTTAGACAGTTTCTAAGAGCAGACTCTGTGCCATCTGTTCTTTTATATTTTAAGATTTATTATTTATTTAGTTGAAAGGTAGAGTTTCAAAGAGAGAGAAACGCCCACCCACTGGTTCACTGCCCAAATGGCCACCATGGCTAGGTGTGGGCTAGGCCAAAGCCAAGAAGCAAAGAGGTCTCCTCCATGGTGTTTGAGCCGTCATCTGCTGCTGTCCCGGGTGCATTAGGAAACCGTCGGAATTGGAGCATCTGGGCCATGAACTGGCACTTATGTGGGATGCAGGCATTACAGGCGAGGGCATAACTGGTTGTACCACAAAACCAGCCCCATACCATCTGTTCTTGACTCAGATGCCTGTTTTCAGCTTCAGCCACCCATCACCTTCCTTCCTATCCCTGAATGTATGGGTCCTGGGGCGTACGAGCTTGCGTGTGCCTATGCCTAACTCCCTGGAAACATCAAGGTGATGTGTGCATGGCCATCATCGTCTGATTCAGGAGACACATCATGATTGGCTTAGGCAATCTCCAGCTCACGTTCCAGACTCACGACTCGTCCTGGTTCTGTCCGGGTTGCCAGGTGCCCATGCCTGAGTGTAGGTCCCTGATGGCCCACAGCTTGCAGCTGCTAGAGCAGCTCAGTGCCCTTTGTCTTGGAGAAGTTTACCGGTTTCTCCTTGTGTTGTATAGCGCTGACTTTTTAAAGAGGCCAGTTATTTTATAGCCTGTCTCCAAATGTGGATCTGCCTGGAGATCGTTGCTTTTTTTTTTTTTAATTTAGATGTAATTTACATGCTGCAAAATGTGCTCTTTCTCAAATATACAGTTGTCTACATTTTCCCAAAAGTGCAGAGTTGTATAACCATCCATGGTTGAGGTGCTGATGGGGACACACCTTTTTAGAGAGTCAGAGTTAGAGCAAGGGAGGGAGATCTTCTGTCCACTGGCTACTCCCTGAATGGCCACGGTCCCAGTCTCCCCATGGCCAGTGGCTTTACCTGATCCTGCCCCATTCTGGTCACCCCTTTCCCCCGCACCCCCAAACCACATCACCTGTGTCCTCTGTCTCTACGGTTTGCCTGTTCTGGAACAATGGTCCATTGCCTTGTTGCCCTGGCTGTTGTCTCTCATTGTGACTCTGTGCATCTCAAGTCCATGGCCCGTTGTGTTTGTCATCAGAACTTGACCTACAAGGGTGAGCTCGGGCCCCACTTGAGAGAGAAAAACAAATGACCCAGAGAGCAGGGCTGGTCCCCTAGGGAAGGCGGTCCCGGGACAGTGTGCACACCCAGCTGGCACACTGGCATGAGTCAAGCCCAGGGAATGGCAAAGAACTAAGGAGACATTGTCTTAAAACAGGTTTTTTATTTTTTATTTATTTATATTTATGGTTTCAACAGCTATCAAAAACTAGCCTCAAGAAGTCAGTTTTTAAAAAGAGAGTTTTTATGTTCAGCAATCGAGAGGCAAAGAGTGGAATGGGCGGCAGGGTCTGGGGCAGCGAGGTGATGACCAGCAGGGTCCCCAGCCGACAGGAGGCGGCAGCAGCAGCTGGTGCGCTGGCCTCATGGGAGGCGGAGGTGCCAGTCAACGCAGAGGCTTGGCAGCACGGTAAGAGCCAGGGGTGGGGAGAGGATGAACCACTTGAGTTGTTCAGAACAAACACGTCCGTCCGTGCAGCTCTTGCTAACGGCCTGTGTAGTGTTTTCCAGACTATCATGCTGCTGTTTTTGGAGTTTTGCTTTTAAACAGCCTAGGAGTGAGAGTTTCCACAATCCCATAAATAATCCATTCCCTTACCTTCTTCCTGGCAAAGGCTCCTCCCCTGGTTTTTGTTGAAAAGTGGGGAAAGTAAGGGTGGATCGGGTGCTGCTGGGGATGCCTGCCCGGGTTCAAGGCCCAGCTCGGCTGTGGTTTGCAGCCTCTTGCTGGCACACCTACCCTGACAGGCATCAGGGGAGGCTCACGTAGTTAGGTTCCTGACGCCCACACAGGAGACCGGGGCTCTGTTCGGGGCTCCTGGTTTCCGCCTGGCCCAGGCCCTGGCTTTTGTGAGCGTTTAGAGACTGAGCCAGCAGTCTCTGCTTTTCAAATAAACAAGAAGTAAAGGAAGCGTTTTTTAAGTCGTAGAAATATTGTCCCGCAGGAACAGTTATGGTTTCCCTACAGTCTGTTAATCTAAGTCTTCTAACTTTCCTATGTTGCGTCAGTAGTCCCTGTTTCAAATAAATCTTGCTTAATGAGTCTTATAAAAAATGTATAGAGATAAAATGGAGCAAAAACTAGGATGCAAAATTACCTCTCCACAATGTGCTTAACCGTGTTAAAAACGGTTACAGGGGCTGACATTGTGGCACCTGCCACGTGCCACTTCAAGTCCTGGCTGCTCCACTTCTGATCCTGCTCCCTGCTAACGCACCAGAGATCACTCAGCCCCTGAGCCCCTGACCCATGTGGGGAGAACCAGAAGAAGCTCCTGGCTTCAGCCTGGCCCATTTGGGGAGTGAACTAGAGGATAGAGGATTCTCTTTCTCTTTTTGTAACTCTGCCTTTCGGGCAAAAGAATCTTGGAAAAAAAAAAAAAAGACAATAGGAAAAAAAGCCCCACAGTAAATACACAAAAAAATCAGTAGTCAGAGCTGTGGGTGATGCTTTGGGGTGTCACCTTTTTGCTGCTGGACCACAGTTCCAGGAAAATCATGTCATTCTGTGTTCCCACCCTGCTTCTGCCCCTGCTCAGTACTCACCTTAGTGACTGGTGGCAGCTGGGAGTTAGAGCAGCCTCCAGATGAGCTCTCACCATCTCCATCTTATGTCCTGTGTCACCAAGTCACAGGACAGGTGTCATACAGTCAGTGTGATTGATAGACACTGGGGAGAGATGCAGACAGCTGGCCTCGTGGGTGTGGCCATCACGCCCTCTTCTAGCCTTGGGAGAGGTTCTCCCCTCCACAACGCCTACTTCTCCTTTGGGCCCCTCCCAGGACAGGGACCGGCTCACCCCAGGCTGTCTCCCCAGGGAGAACGCTGCCCTCCTGGGGCCGCCCACTCATGTCACGGGACTTCCAGCTACTATGCCGGGATGGCAGCCGTGCCGATGTCACGGAGTGGCGGCGATGCCACCTGGCCCGGGTGCCGGCTCACGCTGTGGTGGTCCGAGCTGACATGGATGGAGGCCTCATCTTCCGGCTTCTCAATGAAGGGCAGGTGAGTTTAGGCCCCCTTACACTCCTCTCTACCCCCCTCCCGCACACACACAGAGCTTGCCAACTAGTCACACCTGGGGTAAGGCCAGTAGGGGCACCACCCACTGCTGCCCCTGCCCAGTCCCACTGCTGGCACCATCCCCTGCCTCGGCATCCAAACAGCTGAGCATGGTGAAGCTAGATGAACTGAATGGAGACCCAGATGCAGAAACTCTTGGAGGAGGAAGGTAGGAGGAGGCAAGCATAAATCTGGGGAGACTCTGTATAAGAGGGGATCTCCCTGGCCTTGAGAGTGGGTGACTGCCTGGTCTGAGGTCACAGGCAGGAGGGGGGGGGTGACTGGGCAGGGGCAGGGCCAGGGGGAGAGGCCATGGCCAACAGCACACTCCCCAGCTCCCTTACCTGCCCCTCGGCACAGCGTCTGTTCAGCCACGAGGACAGCAGCTTCCAGATGTTCAGCTCGGAGGCCTACGGCCACAGGAACCTGTTATTCAAGGACTCCACGACGGAGCTGGTGCCCATCGCCACACAGACCTACGAGGCCTGGCTGGGCCGCGAGTACCTGCACGCCATGAAGGGTCTGCTCTGTGACCCCAACAGTAAGGCCACTTGTCCCTCCTGCAGGCCTCAGCCCAGATGCACAGCATTGGGGCAGGGCTCCTAGGGGAGGTGGCGGGAGTGCAGGACCCTCACACAGGAGGCCTACACTTGTCTCTGTGGGACCCTATCATGCTCCCCTCTGTGCTTCTGGGGATATAGGTGGAAAACACCTGTGCAGGTGTGCAGCCTCTGGATGCGGAGGCACTGGAATGCAGGTGTATCTTAGGGGACTTGCCTCCATCCTCTTCATCCTCCTGGCTCTGCCACCAACTCCCACCAGCTCTTCCCTGCCATCGGTCGCTGCTCCCTCTCTCCATTTCTGACCTGCAGTGGTGCAGAGGTCTACCAGTTGGTTTCCTGCATGTGGCTCTGCTAGCCCATGCACAGGGAATCTGGTGTTGTAGATTGTGTGTTCAAGTACCTGTAGCCCCAGTCTTCCTCCAGCCCAGGCAAATGGGACAGTGACTCCTGCTGTTAGGAGAAAATAGGCTTTGGATTTCAGTAATGTATGCTGGCCATGCAGCCACCAAGAGGAGGGTCCAGAATTGTCCCCTTGGGTCTGGCTCCAAGCTCTTCTCACAGATGTACCCACCACTTCCCTCACAGGACTGCCCCCATACCTACGCTGGTGTGTGCTGTCCACCCCCGAGATCCAGAAGTGCGGGGACATGGCCGTGGCCTTCAGTCGTCAGAGGCTCAAGCCTGAGATCCAGTGTGTGTCAGCTGAGTCACCCCAGCACTGCATGGAGCAGATCCAGGTGGGAACCATGCCCAACAGGGCAGGGGTCTAGTTGGGTAGGGTACACAGAGAGCAACAGCATACCTGGTGGTCCTTCCTGCCCACCTCAGGAAGGAAAGGGGTGTACCTCCTGTGACAAGCCCGAGATAAGGCCAGCAAGGACTTCAGAGACCAACAGCCACTGGCCCAGGGCTCCTTGCTGAGCAGGTGGCCTGGCAAAGACCTGGGACCTTGGCCAGCTCCCTTCTGCTTTCTGAATCTTCTGCACAAGAGAGGCCAGGCTTGGGTCACAGTGTGTTAAATATTTCTTTTCAAAATATAGATCTGTTTATTTATTTGAACAGAAAAGAGAAAGAAGTAGTAAGAAAAAGAGATCTTCCATTCACTGGTTTATACCCCAAATGACCACAACAGGCAGGAGCCAGGAACTCTTGGTCTCCCATGTGGGCGGTTGACACAAGTGCTTAGGCCATCCTATGCTGCTTTCCCAGGAGCATTAGCAGGGAGCTGGATCAGAGGTGGAACAGCTTCCCATACAGCTCCTTAGACCAAAGTCAGCCATCTCTGCTGCCATCAGGGGGCTCACCCCAGTCTGCTGGCTCTTCCTTTTTGTTCCCTTCAGGCTGGCCACATCGACGCAGTGACGCTGAAAGGAGAGGACATTCATACGGCAGGAAGGATGTATGGGTTGATCCCAGCTGCTGGGGAGCTGTACGCAGGTGAGAGAGAGATTTTCCATCCACCGGGTCACTCCCCAAATGGCTAAACAGCCAGAGCTAGACCAGGCAGAAGCCAGCAGGCAGGAGCTTCACCCAGGTCTCCCACATGGGCAACAGAGGCCCAGGTACTTGGGGCATCCTCTGCTGCCTTCCCAAGATGCATCAGCTCTTCCTGAATGGGAAGGCAGAGGTGGGAGTAGATTTCAGACACTTTGATGCAGAATGTGGGCATTGCAGGTGTCACTTTAGCCCAGTGCAGCAGTGCAGCACCCACCCAAATTCTTCTTTAAAAGGAACACACAAACCACTCCCAGCCTGGAACCCAGGCCACAGCATTTGCTGACCTTGGCATGACTGGCCCTGTAGAAGGCGTCTCGAGACCCTAGCCGGTCAGCTGGCGCACACCTTCTCAAGCATCAGGCCGGAGCTTTGGTTGATCTCCTCATTTGCACAATTTTAACATGTATGAGCAAGGTAGAGAGGGTGAGAGACGGAGAGAGCTCCCATGTGCTGTATACTTCCCCAGCGGGGCTAAAGCTGGGAGCAGGAACACAGTGTCAGGGTCTCCCACTTCCTCGGCTCACTGCGGGCACTCAGAAGGTGTATCCTAAGCATAGGCCAACCCTGTGACATGGGGACCACAGGGCCTCCATCTCTGCCATCTGGGTGTGAGAAATCTCTGCATGGAGGGAAAAACTTCTCCCAGGAGGTGAGAAAGATGCCACCTGGTGGGGGGGTAAGAAAAGAAAGGAGCCCCTTTGGGTGCAGGCATGACAACCCCTGCCAGAATTGGTTCAGTGAACACCCCCTGGCCTCAGCCCCCCAAGACAGGGCAGCAGCTGGAGTGGGTCCTGCCTGTCCTCCTGGCCGAGGGAAACCTTCATAGCTATCCCGCTTCCCCAGACGACGACAGAGGTAACTCATACTTCGTGGTGGCGGTGGTCAAGCGTGACAGCTCCTACGCCTTCCCCCTGGACGAGCTGCGTGGGAAGCGCTCCTGCCATCCCAGCTTTGGCAGCCTCGAGGGCTGGGACGTGCCCGTGGGCGCCCTCATCCACAGGGGCTTCATTCGGCCCCGGGGCTGTGACGTCCTCACAGGTATCACCCTCCACACACCTGACTCGAGGGAGGGGGCAGGACGAGGGACCGGGCAAGAGTAGGGACTCTGGGTCCCGTTGTGGCACCCGCCACCCCCCAGTCCCTGGTGGATGCCCTGTTGGAAAACAGCTGGGTGTCCACCTAAGTGAACAAGTACCCAGTCTGGGGACAGAAGGAACGTCGCCCCATACCCACTGTGTAGTGCATCCTGACCAGGGGTGTTGGGTGATGTGGTGCGCGTGGCAGTCATAGGCAATTGGAAGCTGGGTCACCCACCGGAGCCCCGCAGAGAGTGCACCTGGAGTGGGCTGACCCTGGACCTATCACCCTCCCCACTAGTAAGGCAGTGAGCCCCCTGTGCGTGTAGGAGTTCAAGTGCAGGCTGGACAAGCACCGTTCCCACCAGAGGCTACGGACACAGCTTCTGCCTTCTGCCAGTCCCCGAGTCCTGGGGTGGTGGATGGGAGGGTGCGTAGGAGTAGGGAGCACAGGAGGCAGGCCCTCGGGATGGCCTGCTGGGAGTGGCCCCTCAGCCCTGCCCTGGCCCTCCTGCCAGCCGTGGGTCAGTTCTTTAACGCCAGCTGCGTGCCCGTGAACAATGCCAAGGAGTATCCTTCTTCACTGTGTGCACTCTGCGTGGGCGACGAGCTGGGCCGCCACAAATGCATCGGCAACAGCCAGGAGCGGTACTACGGTGACAGCGGTGCCTTCAGGTGCTGGCTCCCCCTGGCCTGGGGCGGGGGGTTCACTCAGTCCAGGAAAGAAGTGGGGAAGCGGGGGGGGGGGGGGGGAGGGAGGAGAAAGGGCTCCCTCCCGACTTCCGCTCCATTCCTTGTGTATGACAGGTGTCTGGCAGAGGGTGCAGGGGACGTAGCCTTCGTGAAGCACACGACCGTCTTTGACAATACCAATGGTACGTGAAAAAAGTCGGGCTGGGGGCTACACAGGGAGGCCCTGACTGATGAGGGGTTGCAGCCCCTAGTCCACTGCAGTGGTAGTGACCCCCGGCTCAGGCTCACTTCCTTTGGAACTTACCCACACAGGTGATTTTGCAGTGTTGAAGGGTGCCGCTGGGGGCGCGTGCAATGCGTGTTAGCACCTGCTTTCTGGCTGTGAGCAAATGCCTACGGCAGACAGGGACACCACTGTGCAGCCTGAGCCAGCTGAGGGCAGACAGGGGCACCGCCGTGCAGCCTGAGCCAGCTGAGGCAGGACATAGCCCAGGGTCCTTTTGTTCTATAAGTGGCTTTTCCTCTGGCCCCCCATAGTCAAGAGGACAGGAGACTGCGTTCCTTCTGCCTACACCCCAGGCTTTGAAAGCCCAGCCTTCCCCACCCTGGCACCATCCCTCTTCCAAGAGACACACTGTGTAAGCAGGGATGCCAGATCACATAAGTAGGGGCAAAACTGGTACTCAGATTCCCTAATCTGGGTGTCACCCCTGACAGAGCTGGGCTTGGCAACCTCCACACCCTAAAATCTCCCTGCTGCCACAGCTTTACCTCCCTGCCCAAGCTTTCTCAAAGACCTCCTGGGGCCACCCCAGGAGTGCATGTGGGTGTTCTTTGTGACCCTGCAGACACCACCAGCCCTGTCATGTTTTAGATGCCAGCCAGGTGGTCCCAGGAAGAGGAAGGCAGACCCATAGAGGCCCTGGGGGGTGATTTGCCTGCCTCAGGTGCCCACTGCCCATAGGCTCATGTCCCCTTTCATCCTTAACCTTGCCCAGTTCCATTTAGACAGGGGAGGAGGGGGAGTACTGAGCAGAGCACCAGATTGTGCAGGGGCCAGCCACCTGTCTTGGAATCCCAGGGGTGCAGGGTTAGAATGCAGGTGCTCAGGTACCACTTCCCACAGCACACCACAGCTTGTCTCTGTCATATTGCTAATAGAGTGGCACCAAGACAAAACAGCAGCCTGGGGACCTGAGCAGATGGAGCTGCCTCCTTCCAGTACAGGATCCTGGAGTTGGGGGAGGGGAAGGGTGGCAGCCTCCCTTTACATCAACCACTGCTCTGTCCCCTCAGGCCACAATTCTGAGCCCTGGGCCGCCCATCTCAGGACACAGGACTACGAGCTGCTGTGTCCCAATGGGGCACGGGCAGAGGTGCACCAGTTCGAGGCCTGCAACCTGGCCCGGATACCATCACACGCTATCATGGTGCGGCCTGACACCAACATTTTCACTGTGTATGGCCTGCTGGACAAGGCCCAGGTAAGCCGGCGCAGCAGCTGCCTGGCTGAGGCCTGGATGGAAGATAGGGGAGGGTTGTGCAAGCAAACCCTGGGGAGAAACTGAGCAAACTCGAGAGGGGAAATTCTATGATTTTTCATTTGGGATGTCCCTGCGGTGACTAGCCCCTCAGTCCTGTCCATGATGTATTGGTCCTTATCAAGCTAACCTCCCTCACCAATGCTGCAAGCATGCTATGATTCTGACCGCCTCTTTAGCCATGAATGAGCCCTGTGGTCTCACATCCTCTTGCAGCCAGAACCCTGCTTCCTCCAAGAGCAACACTTCCCCAGAGCACGGGGTCCACTCTTGCCTATCTTCTCCGCCCTCCCTTAGGAAGGCAGCCCAGCCCTCACCAGGACTGACCCCGCCCTTATCAAGGCCACAGCGACACAAGGGCTCCCCACTTCCTTGGCTACACATGACCTCTCAGCAGCCGGGCTTCAGCTCCCTGGGCTCCTGGGCTGGTCCTGCCTCACCTCCCTGCACACACTGAATGTCCAGACTTCATCCTCAAGCCTCGTCTCCATCTACACCTAGCCCCTAGCTGACCCCACCTAGGCCCATGTCACTAAATGCCATCTGTGCATACAGACAGCTCCCAGCTGCCCACCATCAGCCTAGGCTTCCACCCCAAACTCACAGACCTAACTACCTGCTTGACTTCTGGTTTCTGTGTCTCATGGGCATCTCAGGTGGGTCAAGAGCAGGAGTTGTGCTCCTCTTCCTCCCTGCCTCACCTGGTGGCAGCCATGCCAGTCAGCACTTCCGCAGGAAATGTCCTGGATAACCCATCCCGTTCTATATCCTGCTCATGAACAAGCCACACTGACCACGCTTTCAAAACATGTCTTGAATTTAAACTAAGCTGCCTTCCAGCAGAGCCTTGGTTTTTAACACCCTCCCAACCCTGCCCAATCTCTCCCTCTCCTGTACTTTGAAATAATCAGTGTTTTCATCTTCCCCACGGAGCCCCTCAGATCCAGCAATTCTTCCCTCTGGGCTTCTCACTTCTGGGGTTGGGGGACAGAGGAGAATCCAATGTGGGTGTGAGTTTCCATGAGTTTTCCAGGAGTCCTCTCTGAGCACAATGATGGCCCCACAGTGCCTTCCCCGGGCCCTCGGTCAGCGTCTTCTAGCTGACAGCACCATGCCTGTCCTCCTAGTGGCCTCATGCATACACGTAGTTAAACTTCATTTGACTTGCAGCTTTTGGAGTTCTAGCCACTGCACACACAACCCACAGCACCAGCTCTAGGCCCTTCTCAGCTCATGTGCTAGCTCCTTGTTCCTGGTGACAGAGCAGTCTCACTTGGTGGCGTTGTTCGGGTCTGTGGGAAGGGACACCAACAAAGTCACAAAGGTCAGCGAGGTGGCCCAGCCAAGCACGCAGTCACCTGTCTCTGGTTTCTGGATCTTAGCACTCACCAGCTTGGGGAGATGGTGCTCAACATCTTACAGTGCTGTCTGCAGCCCTGTCTTCCCCCAGGCCTTCTCTGATCCTGAATGAGACAAAGGGGGGTGGTGATCCAGCCATGACTGCAGAGTGGTGATACCCTGAGGGGTGCCTTGCTTCAGGTCAGCCCATGACCATTTGCAAGCCTGGACAGACTCCAGGTGTGCCCATGCCACTTCCAGGACCTGTTTGGAGACGATGGCAACAATAACGGGTTCAGAATGTTCGACTCCTCCAACTACCACGGTCAAGACCTGCTCTTTAAAGATGACACAGTCCAGGTGGTGCCCGTGGGGCAGAAGACCACCTACCAGGACTGGCTGGGACCTGACTACGTGGCAGCGCTGGAAGGCATGCTGTCCCAACAGTGCTCGGGAGCAGGTAGGCCAGCCACCTGCTGGACAGCGGGCAGAAACAGCCCAAGGACCCTGCCGTTTGCCCCTGCCCCAAGTGTGCCTTACAGTTTCTTTCTCTTCCAAATCTTGGGGAGTGGAAGGTACCCTGTGTCTTTATGACCAGGGGGGCAGAAAGAGACTCCCATTTTGCAAAAATGGTGGAAGTGAAGAATGGGGAGGTGTTGGGGTGGGGGTGCTGGAGGGAGGAGCAGCCACGTCACCAACATGCCCTCCCAAGCACCCTGACTGAAGGTGTTTCTCCCGCAGCTGCCAGTGCCCCAAGGGCTTCGCTGCTGCTGCTGCTGTCACTGCTGGCCCTGGCTAATGGCCTCCTCCTGCCTTCCGTCTGAAAGCAACACTGGGCAGACTCGGCCAGCGGTGCACAGGGCATCGCGCCATCGCAGGGGTATGCGAGACCCCGGGACCACCGTGCTCCCTGCCTGAGGGCAACCTCCCACCACTCATGCCCAGACCCAGGATCTACTCCAGGGCACCTGCTGGCCCCCATGCTGGGGAACCGTGTCTTCTGCAGGCCTGGCGTGCTTCCCGTAGCTTCCTGGCTTGGTGGCGGTGGAGGCTGGTTGTCATGGGAACCACTGTGCCCACGTCGCTGCCCACCTGGCCACCCACAGCCCCACCGCCTTAACATCCCCTTGCCGTTGCCACATCTGGGCCCTGGCTTTCAAGTCTCCTGAGGACACTGGCCCCCATAGCTAGCCACAGTCTGTGGTTGTATCTTCTGGGGGGCCTGATGCGGTGTAGGTATGCAGGCTTAGCAAAGGGCAGGAGCTGGAGTTGGACTGTAGGGATGCCTGGAAGAAACTTTAGAAGAGGAGGTAGGATGTTTGCCCAGTGGTCTGTCTGGAAGGCTAGCCTCCAGCTCCTATGTGCCCTGCCCTTCGCTGGGGTGAGCCAGGCCGGCTCCACATCAGGGATCCCATAGCTGGAATTCCAAATGCTCCATGTCATGCTTAGCTCAGGTGCTCCTCCTCCTCTGCCCCCATCACGGTGCCCATGATCCTCGTGTCATTTCTGGTCACCTGTCAGCTCCTTCCAAATCCAAGAGAGCAGCCCTGGAAACTTCCCTGGAATCTGGGCTGGGGGCTGCATGCCACTGGTGGGTACTGGCTAAGCTATAGCTCCTGGCTCTGCCCTGGCACCCTGGCATCTCATGGGTCCCTGGTCACACCCTGCATGCTCCCTGTGGCCTGCCCATGACTGCATCTTGCCTGTCCCTGAGGGAAAAGCTGCAGAACTGCCCAGTGCTGGAGAGGGAGGGAGGGAGGGAAGGAAGGAGGGAGAGAGAGAAAGAAAGAAGATAGGAAGGAAGGAAGGAAGGAAGGAAGGAAGGAAGGAAGGAAGGAAGGAAGGAAGGAAAGAAGGAAGGAAGGAGAGAAAGAAAGAAAGAAAGAAAGAAAGAAAGAAAGAAAGAAAGAAAGAAAGAAAGAAAGAAAGAAAGAAAGAAAGAGAAAGAAAAGAAAGAAAGAAAGAAAGAAGGAAAGAAAGAAAGAAAGAAAGAAAGAAAGAAAGAAAGAAAGAAAGAAAGAAAGAAAGAAAGAAAGAAAGAAAGAAAGAAAGAAAGAAAGAAAGAAAGAAAGAAAGAAAGAAAGAAAGAAAGAAAGAAATCTGGAGCAGGTGTCCGGGCAGCAGCCTGAGCTCTGTGTGGGCCTGGAGCTATTTGCATCCTGCTCTGCAGGGGGATGGGGCCGCACAGGATCGCCCGGGTTCCCAGAGGCTCACTGCCACAATCGGCTGCTGTCCATCTCTCAGCATGGGAGGAGGGAGGCGCTGACAAGTTCCACACCACTTCCTGGAGGGGCACCCAGCCACCTCCACCTTTGCCTACCGCAGCCAGGGGCACTGGACCCCTCACGTGCCAGAGATAGCCCAGGGTTCTTCCCAACCTGACAGTTGTTGAGTTTCAGCTTTTTTGTTTCTAAAGGGAATACATGCAGCCTACTCTGTGTCATTCACTGGGCCTGTTGCTCCCAGGGGTGGAATATCTCCTACAGGTGCCCCTGGGGGTGTGGCCTGTGTATGTGGGGGTGTGTGCATGCGTGTGTATGTGGTGACTGGCAGGTGGCAGTTCCAGTGGGTGCTGATCTGTTGTTTGAATAAAGCTGAGCGGCCCTGTCCGGCAGAGGCTTGAATTCCAACAAACTCTCGGCTGCTGCTTTTTTTGTCTCCATGGTGCTCATAGGACCCACCCGCCAGGGGTCCCCATCCCTCCTGCCCCAGAGGGACCAAGGCCACTTGGAGCCCTGCTCTCACAGAGCTAGAACCAGGGCCCATCCTGGACCTCTGGCTAGCAGCCCCTCCCTGCCGTGTCCCATTTCTCCAATCTGTCCAGATTCCTGTCCACCACCACCACCCCCTCACACAGCCCTAGGAGTTGGCACCTCCTGCTGCTGCCTGCCACCAGGCTCCAAAATCAGCCACCCACACCTTCTCCCTGGCCAGCTCCCTGCTGACGCTGGGCAGTGGGGGAGGGAAGCAGATCTGTGGGCAGGCTCATAGTGGGCAATCTCCAGGCTGGTCTGTGGCCCCCCATCTGTGCTCAGCTCTCACTCAGCAGTAGGACTGGGCTCCCCCTATCGGGGCACCTGCCTTCATTCAGCCCCTGGGCCCCCCCTCCCCCATCACTGAACCATCTTAAAGCAGGGTCTTGCCAGCCACTGTGCCCAGACCGTTTCCCCCACCAGCAGCTGGCCCAGCATCACGCAATGATGACTGATTTCATCCCAATGATGAAGTCATTCTGAGCCCATCTGGTTCTCTGTGTGGGTGGCCCTGGCTACCCCTGCAGGCCTGTGCCCTACCCCCACCACCCGTTGGTGCTCTCAGCTGCTGCTGGGCAGGACAGAGCCTGGAGCCGCCACAGGAAAAGCCCGAAGGGTCTATGCTGTGTGATAGAAGGTCAAGCCTCTACCTGCCACACCAGCATCCCCCATGGGCTTCAATTTGAGTCCCAGCTGTCCACTTCTATTGCCACTCCCTGGTTATGACCTGGGAGAGCGGCAGAAGATGGTCCAAGTCCTGGAGTCTCTGTACCCTCATGGGAGGTAGAGGAAGTTTGTTGCTCCTGGTTTGTTCCTGGCCATTTGCAGAGTACTCAAGGAATACAAGATAACCCTCCACCATCACCCTGCCCTGCTCACCCCATAGCTCTCTGCCTTGGAAACAAATGAAATATAATTTTTTTTAAAACGAAAGAAACCATTGGTTCCAGCGCGATAAGCTAGTGGCCAAAAGTCCTCGCCTTGCACACACTGGGATCCCATATGAGTGCCGGTTCTAATCCTGGCAGCTCTACTTCTCTTCCAGCTCTGTGCTTGTAGTCTGGGAAAGTAGTCGAGGACAGCCCAAAGCCTTGGGACCCTGCACCTGCATGGGAGACCCGGAAGAGGTTCCTGGCTCCTGGCTTCAGATTGGCTCAGCTCCAGCCATTGCAGTTGCTTGGGGAGTAAATCATTGGACAGAAGATCTTCCTCTCTGTCTCTCCTCTTCTCTGCATATATCTGCCTTTCCAATAAAAATAAATAAATCTTAAAAAGAAAGACACCCAAGTTCCTTCTGATTGGCAGCAGCCAGTTGGTGAGTGCAGCTCTGTGGCGCACAGGGAGACCCAGGTCTGGAGCACAAGTTACAGACCTGGTTCTAGAGCATGGCTGCCCCCACTCCCCAAAAATACAAAACCTAAAACTGAGACAGGAGGGCACATGGGGGGGGGGACCAGGAGTCAGAAATTCAAGCACAAGCAGGGGAGGAGCCCACCCCCAGTCAGAGCATCCCCACCTGGTCCCGCCACAACCTGGGCACGAGTCCAGCAGACACCTGCTGATTCTACAAGCCCTTAGGAGGAACAGTGTCAGCGAGGTGAAGAACGTACTACGGGTTCTTCGTGAACGGAGGCACTAGCTGGAGACTGCAGCTGATGTAAACTCCGGTTTACAGCTGAGGAACTCTGGTTCACCTCCCGCATGGGGACGACCTGGGTCCAGACCCTGCCGGGATGCGGTTTGCTCCTGCCCACCCTCCCTGTCCACGAACGAAGCTTCTTCTAGATGCCCAGCCCTTGATGGGGCTCACGGCTCCCCAGGAAGCCCATCTGCGACTTCAGGGTGCACTGCAGAGACAGAGAGAAACTAGCCTGTGATAGATGCAGATTCACCTATGAAGAGGAAATGTGATCATTTTAAAAATTCACAGTGAGTGCCTGGCGCAGTGGCTCAACTGGCTAACCCTCCCCCTCAAACGCCAGAATCCCATATGAGTGCTGGTTCATGTCCCAGCTGTTCCACTTCCCTTCCAGCTCCCTGCTTGCAGTTTGGGAAAGCAACAGAGGATGCCTCAGCACCTTGGAGCCCTGCACCCAGGTGAGAGACCCAGAAGCTACTGGCTCCTGGCTTCAGATCAGCTCAGGTCTGGCCACTGCAGTCATTTGTGAGGGGTGGAAGTGAACCAGTGGATGGAAGATCTGTCTTCTCTCTGTACATCTGTCTTTCCAATAAAAGCAAAAAAAAAAAAAAATTAAGTTAACAGTGAAACTTCTCTGGGGTACTCTAACAGTTGGCCCCAGTCATTATTCATGCGGCCGCATCCACAATGTCCAGCACACAGGAGGACCCCTGCTGGGAGCGTGGGCTCCAGGTCACCCATCTGAACACAGAGGATGCCTGCAACCCCTCACTCATGTGGCTATTCAGGACGCAAACTGGTAGCCAGAGAATCTCTCTGTCCTTCAAAAATAATAACTTGGGCCCGGCGCTGTGGCCTAGCGGCTAAAGTCCTCACCTTCAACATGCCAGGATCCCATATGGATGCCAGTTCTAATCCCAGCAGCTCCACTTCCCATCCAGCTCCCTGTTTGTGGCCTGGGAAAGCAGTCAAGGATGGCCCAAAGTCTTGGGACCCTGCACCAGTGCGGGAGACCTGGAGGAAGTTCCTGGCTCCTGGCTTTGGATTAGCACAGCACTGACCACTGAGGTCACTTGGGGAGTGAATCATCGGATTCAAGATATTTCTGTCTCTCCTCCTCTCTCTATATATCTGACTTTGCAATAAAAAAAAAAAAACTTTAAATAATAATAACTTATATTAACTGGTTGATTTATATCAAGGTGTTGTTTTTTTTAAGTGTTAGTATCTAGTCCCTGCCTCCCTCCCTCCCTCACCCCACTGCACACCCAAACTCTCACCCTTGGGCCATCTGTGACTGGGGAGTCCCCACTGAGTCCCTGATCCTGGCTTGCTCAATCAAAGAATGAACCAAATGTAGCCCAAGACTAAGACCCTGGCAGCCTGGCCCCAGTTCCCTCCGGCTGGGCAGGAAACCGAGCAGACAGGCACC